ACACACACACACACACACACACACACACACACACACACACACACACACACACACACACACACACCTCTAGAATAGCTGTAAAAACAGGTATTGATGAGAGGACCTAGTCAATGACCATCAGAGGAAAACAGAGACTGCCATTAGCCAGCCAGTCAATCGCTAAAGCATTCTGGGTAATTCTAGCACACACATACATCCAGACATGGGGATACACATATCGACGGCAAGAAGACACCCCTCAGGGATATCTTAACCACATATACACATATACATCACGTGAAACTCAAATCAGTATGAGAATGTATCCATATATTTTTATTTATCCTTTATTTGCTATTATCTTACGCGTCGTCTTTTTTCAGCTTCATTTTTCCTTTACTTTGTAAATCTAACGTCCGCTACTTTTTACTTCCACTGAACTTTCTTCCCTCTGCCTTTTTTATACCTCAATCTATGTCTCTCTTATGAGTAAAGTGGCGATAGGTTGCTCCTAGGGGGCCTTGACCAGCTCATTAGTTCAGTGCAGCAGTGTGTGTGTGTGCGTGTGTGTGTTTCTGTATGTGCATGAGTGGTTGGGATGATTGTGCATTAGCTGGTTATCTAATCAATGGGAAAAACCACTGAGTCTGGGACCCTGCTTATGTTACTATCAGAGCTATTTATAGAGACACATGTGCCTTTCTCACATTCACACTAAAAAATCCCAGAACATCACACAGGAATGTTCAAATTTAAATCAACTCATACAAAGTAGGAGTCCATTAAAACATCAATTTAAGCGGAACTACTTCGCATAAAGAAAGGAAAATATATTTTAAACAAAATGGCAACCATTAACAAAAAAAATGCATGCACAGATCAAAACAATCACTTTCCTTGATTTGAATATAATTGATCTATTCTCAAAAAAAGTCATAGCTTTTCTACCATTTTGTCAAATTTCTGTTAGGGCTTCATTTAAATGAAAAATCATTAAACACTGTAACTTTGTCTCTTTGACTTCTTCCGCTGTCTCACCCTCCCTCTGCCTCATTTCCCTCCTCCTTATCTTTCTTTTCTAGTGGGAGTGAGACAGATTAAAGCCAGTGTTGGTTTTACTTATCATACTGCAGCCAGCACAACCCTCCAAGCAATAGAATGGGAGCTAAACTATTCAACACAAAGTGTAAACACAACAATATTACAAGTGCACAAAACTGCACTCAATATAAAGCATAGCTGGTTTAAATCATTTATTTTTATTATTTGTGGATGCTAAGTTTCTCAACTCATCTTTCTAACAACTCAACTGACTGAGGCATCAACATACTGTATGTGAGCATTACACAAAAAATACAATAAAACAACACTGCTCACCAAGTCTTAGGCCTGTATGACACGATAAACACTCAGTTCTGTCTACCAGGTATAGTGACAATATAATTTCTAAAATGAAGTCAAGTTGTGTGTACATTTGTTTAAGTGCATATGTGTTGTAAGTAAACTCTCACCCTCAACCCACCCCCCTTTATTGTCTGTGTATTACTCAGAGGTGCCACCATCCTCTGATACACAAGCACACAAACACAAGTATTTACACAAACAGTTAGGGCTTAATGAAGCAGAACTCAGCCTGGTGCCCATTAGCCTGATAATTAATAATTTCTCCCAGCCTCCTAACACACTTATCAACTTGCAGTGTGTGTGTGTGTGTGTGTGTGTGTGTGCGTGCGTTCATTGTGAAAGTGTTAGTGGTGTGTTTGTTTGTGTCTGCCAGTACTTGTGCATCTTGACAGATAAAACATGTACTGTACATATACATGCATACACAAATTAGAGTTTTTATGTACAAGTAGACTGTAGTAAACAGTTGAGTTAAACACTTTTTTTTTTTACTTCTGTTTGACATTTATGCATTCTTGTGACCTGCCCATTGTTGGAGACTATGGAGGACCAAAATAGACATAATAAAAATGAAAAGCAGAAATGCTGTAAAAAATGGACCAATAAATAAATAAATAAATAAATAAGGAGCAGGATCTATGTGCAGATAGATTGTGCATGCGTGCATCCATTCATTTTCTTCTGCTTATCTGGGATTGGGTCGCTGGGGCAGCAGCCTAAGCAGAGAAACTCAGATTTCACTCTCTCCAGCCACTTGGGCCAGCTCCTCTGGGGGAATCCCAAGTAGGGTTGAGTACCGAAACTCGGTTCCAATATGGCACCAGGGCAAACATCACTGGTAGTACACAGACGAAACACAACTTATTTCGGTGCCTCAAAGAAAACTGTTAATTTGCACCCTCTGGTGTTCACTGTTAACAATGACAGCCTCGGCACACAATCTCCACGGACGCTCTTGTACGCGGTTTGACTCGGCTCGGTATTGGCCCAATGTGTCTCTCCAAGTGCGCTACACAGCCGCGCTGTTTCAGAACCTCCTCTGTGGTGGTTCGGGTAGAAGCGTGTACAGCATGATTTTGACGTCAGCACAATTCTGCCCGTGGATTAACTCTTGGGTTGATTGACAGCAAATTTCCTCCTGGAGAGAGCTTCTTTGTTTAGGAATACAAGTGCGTGGTGCAATACGACGACATGGTGAAATAAAACCGCCTTTATGGGAA